ATTCACAGTTCTGCCTAGGCTTTTATTTATGAATGAATATCCATAAATACCTTCTGTTCTGACACATATTATGTTGGCTATATAATCTTGTGATTTAGTAACGTTATCTCCCTTTTACTCTGCTTTCCTTAGACTCTGAAGTGGAAAATTCTTCTACTAAAAACATTTACAACACTTCGAATTTGCATAGCACTGCACAAGCTCAAGGCCCAACCCTGCAAATATTTAGTCACACAAGTAGCCTACTCTGGTAAAGCCTTCCAGTGGAGACAAATAGATCACTCATACAACCATGATTTCAATGGAAAGGGGCTGGTATCACTGGAGGTGCAGTTCATTATCTTGTAAATAGCCAGACCAGAAGCTCCCCTGACCACCATCCACAGGACTGCACTCAGTTCCACCGCACCACCGGATTAACCCTTCATTATGATGTGACTTTGCACTACAGAACTATTAACCTCTGTGCATCGCATGGTCAGAAAAGCTTGACTTGGATTCATAGACCCATCTGTATCATCCTTCTTTGTCAGGTATCCGAGCCATATCACTACTGTGCACTTTATCATGGTGAACTTTAGAATAAACTTGGGAGTCTATCTGCAGCTACACAATTCAAGAAAAAAGCGATTCTTTCCAGACTGTGCTGTTCCAAATTTGGCCTAAAACAACACAAAATATCCATGTTTGGTGTCTACTATCTAAACTGAGTGGTTCAGCTGAGTGTGACAAAAAATAACAGCTCTTATAAAATTAGTCTAGAGTCAATATTAGTATTAGCATAGTGCCTGTGAGAACTAGTTCTTGTCAAGTTTTTCATGGCCATCACAGAAATGAAAAATTGCAGTGGGAGTTAGATGCCACAAGGCCCCGAACTGAACCATCAGATGACTGTGTCGGCACAAAAATCCAAGAAAAAGACCTTTAAAAAACCCAGCTGGTATATCCGACACAGGCACTTCATAAATCAGGGTTGCCACACTTCTCAGTGTGGGCCAGCTCACGCCTGAGTCCACCCATGCTCTCGGTGTCTGTGCAGCGAGCAGAGGGGCAGAGCCAGGGAGGCTAACCACCACAGCCCTACCAGCCCTTCCCAAAATGTGGCTGCAACAAGAAGACAGAGCATGTACAAAACGGTCACAACCATCATAGAATACAATAATTTCATTTGGAAGGGACCTACAATGATCATCTAGTCCAACTGCCTGACCACTTCATGGCTGATCAAAAGCTAAAGCATGTTATTAACAGCATTGTCTAAATGCCTTTTAAACACTGAAGGCTTGGGTCATTGACCACCTCTCTTAGGAAGCCTGTTCCAGGGTTTGACCACTCTTTCGGTAAAGAAATGCTTCCTAATGCCCAGTTTAAACCTCCCCCGGTGCAGCTTTGAACCATTCCCACGCATTCTATCACCAGGGAGAAGAGATTTTACCAAGCTACGCCACACTTGCAGGGGGAAGTGAAAAGAAACTCTAAAAAACATGTGCTTTCCCTTGCAATTCTGCCCTGGTCATAACTAATTTCCAGGCCAGGATTTTCACAGGGTGGAGTGGCCTTGTTCACTCATCGTCACTGTATGAAAAAAGGCAAGCAGCACAGCAGAACTTCATTGTACCCACAGCATCCCATGGTGACCGGTGACCTCTCTGAGCCACTGTGCAGAAGGAGCATTGCTGAGCTCCCCTGAGGGAAACTGGATGAGGTTGCAAGTCACCAGCTCCCATAAAGGAGGCAGAAATTCAAACCAGAGTCTTCTGGAATGATTTACATGGCACATAAAACTGAGAAGCAATCACAGAAATCATTCAACAAGTGATTGGGATTAGTTTTATGAAGGCTGCTTTCAAATGGACGGACGATGTAGCCTTTTTAACTTCTGTGATGGCACGTGCCTTCTGGAAAGCCATTCCTGCCAACAGCTTTGCAAGTTGAACACTCTCTGCCATTCCATGCAATTCAATGGGAAAAATCGTTACATGACAACCTCAGCATCAAGACGTACAGCTTGTCTTCCAGTGACACGAACAGTTAGAGCTGGTTTGCAATTGTATCAGCTCTGCGCTTCCAGCAGCTCTGGAGTTCTTGTTAACAGATCCTTTCTTCACTCTTAAGAGTGCAGGATAACATCTGGGCCTTCTGGGAAGCAGTCTCGCAATAAAGAAGCACTTTCTGTAATTCTTCTTTCCTCGCCAAACCGCATCTGTCTGCTCTCCCTGCCCTTCTCCACTCCACCCCGAGCTCCTTGGGGCTGTGAGGACATCTGTTAGCAGCAGAGAGCTGTCTCCACTGAGCCATCAGTAGGTGGCACTGCCTGCTTTTTTTCTCTCCACCCATGGAAATATCCAGTGCTGGCACCCTGTGTGGACCACCACCACCAATTCTGAAGGACGCTAAGGTGACTTAGACGCCTCGTGTCCTGCAAGGTGCACCTACAGCAATGTCAAGCAGCGGAGCGACTGGGACAAAGAAGCAGTTCCACCTCTGCTTGCCAGGCAGCGGTGGTGGCAGCTTTTCCAGAGGAATGAGGTGGCGAGCAAGCAGTGCGAACATCTCCTGCCACCTCACCAGGATTTGGCAGGCTCATCTGCCCAGACCTGAAGTTCCTCTGATCCTAACGCCAGTTAAACAGATGGTGTCAGCCTAGTCTTGCACCGTGTGTGGTGGCCTCATTAATCTTTAGCCAACCTGTCCCAACAGCAGTTCAACTGAGCTACTTTAGAAAAAAATCCCAGTCTAAACCGACGCTCCTGCTTGCAGCAAGCCCCTACGGATGACCGCATGTGGAGCGCATGGTCAGACCCCAGCCAGACCCAGCCCAGCCTGGAAGGTTAATTCTCATTCAGCGCTTGGTTTTGAAAGGTTTGCTCCCAGCAGCTGCGAACCTCTGCTGGCCCATCCAAAATTCAGAATGACCAATTCTCCATGTTGCCACCCACCGGCTGGTGTCAGCAGTCATGGCACTCTTCTCAGCCCAGCCGTTCCCAAAATTGCCACAGTCCAAGTCCAGCCAACTGCAGACCAAGGCTTGGTGCTGAGAATCCTGCACCATTCCCACCAGAGGGGACTCAGTGCCCACCCGCTGGCAACAGGGAAGAGGTCCCTGAGTAGCCGTTTCCACCTTGGCTTGATCTCCCCCTCCCCTCCCCCTTCCTGTGAAAACAACAGTGGATTCATGCAAGAAGGATGGGGAAGGACCAGACCTTCGAGAGCCCACACACTCCCTATGCAATAAGTATTTGCACTGGAAATTAATTGTATATTGACTTTCTCCACACTTGGGAAAGACTGTCTACTTCCACTTCGAATAAGCAAACTGTATAGAAAGCTTTAGTATTTTAATTCTCACATTAAAATTAAAACTGCCCTATCCTGCTGGCTATGCATATGTATAGGGAAACCATCAGGGTAAAATGTCCGATATTATCACATGTAAAGAAAAGAAAACCTTATTTAAAACCAGGTATTTAAAAATACCATGACCGGCTAGCACATCTTAAGTCTACTGAACTTGTCAACAGCAAGTGATGCATTATTTTCGGTACTATTTTATTCAATGAATTTTTTAAGTGAGAAATATTCTCGCTGTAATCACGACCACCTAAAACAAATCAATAAAAAATACACCAGAGCTAACTTCACCAATTCATACAGAAACCGCTTTGACATCTTAACTTGGACGGCGACTTTTTTAGTGCTGACGCCATCTCAGTATTTCATCTGCGTGTTTTAACTTTACACTAAAGCTAAACGAGCCAAATGAAACGGCCGTGCCTGGGCAGCCTGCAACCCACCAGTTCTGTTAGCAGCTGGTGTCTTCCACTGGCTTCAGACACTGACAACCCTTTTCCTGGAGCTTTTGTGTTTGTTTTTCAGAGAGCAGTAGCTCCTGCTTAAATGAATCACTGTGAACTCACACTAGAAGTGCTGATAAATAGCTGTCACAGAAATAAGCTTGCGCTTTTTCAAACGTCTGCAGTTTCAAACCTTCCCTCCCCTTTCTTCAGCAGTGAAAAGGAAGGAGAATTCCCCCAAAGAACCGCTTATGCCCATGAATGACAACACCCTTAGTTCTGATACTCCAGGGCTATAATTACATTATTACAGTAAATCAAACATTGCCTTTGTGCCTTTACAATCGCGCTCATTGTTTGAAATTAACTGCAAATGGTTTGATTTTCTTTTCTTCCTCAAACAGGGGCAGGGAGGAATTAAAGCTCGCTAAATCATCCTCATCGCCGAAGCGCAGGGAAAGCCAGGATTCAGGCAGCGGCATTTGAACTTTGCAAGAACAGAAACCCTGGCACAGCGGCAAGGGAAGGGATCAGGCACAGCACCCGACACAGAGCCACTGCGAAGCAGTTAGCGGGCCGCTAAGTCCTCTGCTGCAATAAATCCCAGTTCCCCCTCTTCCCCAGCGCCCCTCATTACAAAATGGGCTTTAATGAACCACCCCTCTCTTCCCCGCTCCAAGGCAAACCTTTCCCCGCTGCGGCCTGCACCTGCCCTCCACCCTGGCTGCGGGGCGAGGCGGGCGAAGGCCCAGCGTGCGGGCACGCTTGGGGACAGGCAGGGCACCTCAGTAAGAACAGGAGGGCCAGGTGCCCTCGCCTCAGCGTCGGCTGGTGCAAAACCACTCTTCCCCTTGCCGATTTTCCACCTTCCTTTTGATGGACTTGACTCACCACATCTGCTGGAGCCAACACATCTGGCTCCTTCCCCCGGCGGAGGGCACGGTGGGGATGTCAGCGTGCTGTCTGAAGGCAGTGGTACTTTCTCGAAAGAGCTCTTTTCCCCCTCTATCATATATTGTACAATAATCAAGTCTTTTAAAAGGATGGCTAACAAAAAAAAAAAAAAAGCTGATTTTGACAAGAGACAGGCCACAATGGGAACTGCTGAGACAGTAAAGAACAAGCCTGTTATCTTACAAGCTACACTTCAGGCTGTCAGCTGCCAGAGATTTACAGGAAAAAACCCTTTCCTAGAACTGCACCTACACGGAACTTCATTTCCAGCAACAGAAACCCGTGAGCGTGTTCACCCCGAACAGCCACCACCATGCCGTTCCCCTGCCCACGGTGGCCCGGCGACCCGCGTGGATGTGTCCCCGGGCCCCGGGGCTACTCCCCTCGGCGCGGCGTGGGGTTCAGGTGGGTACCG